TGCGTGATGAGTGGCCAGGGCACCGCCCCCTGGTGCTGCTCCCACACATCCCTGAGCGGCCCCTCCTGTGCTCTCCCAGTCTTGCTGGAATGAGTATCTGACAACTCGCATCGAGCAGAACCTGGTGATGAATTGCACCTGCCCCATTGCCGACTGCCCGGCCCAGCCCACGGGAGCCTTCATTCGTGCCATTGTCTCCTCACCAGAGGTCATCTCCAAGGTACCCCCTCCTCCGAGAGAGGCCCCGGTGCACAGCCAAAGGGGAGACCCCAGGGAGTGGGCTGACTGCGGGTGCGGGGGGCCTGGAGGTGTGGCGACCGAGCGAGCCAGGCCCTTGCCTGTGGCCTCTGTCCCCACAGTACGAGAAGGCCCTGCTCCGTGGCTACGTGGACAGCTGCTCCAACCTGACGTGGTGCACCAACCCCCAGGGCTGTGACCGCATCCTGTGCCGCCAGGGCCTGGGCTCGGGGACCACCTGCTCCAAGTGTGGCTGGGCCTCCTGCTTCAACTGCAGCTTCCCCGAGGTGGGCGCCTGCCCAGCCCTGACGCTGAGCCAGGACCCACCCCCGGCCCTGGTCAGCACACACATTCCGCCTTGTCCTCATCCTCCGCCACCGAGCGGAGCTTTGTTCCTCCTCCCGTCATCCTCCAAATGGAGCCTCCCTCCCTCCCGCCCCCTCGAACAATAGCAGGAGGCCCCCCTGAGTAAGGGCTGGGCTGTGTCCTCCCCTCCCTGTCCTGCTCTAGGCACACTACCCTGCCAGCTGTGGCCACATGTCTCAGTGGGTCGATGATGGCGGCTACTATGATGGCATGAGTGTGGAGGCCCAGAGCAAGCACCTGGCCAAGCTCATCTCTAAGCGCTGTCCCAGCTGTCAGACTCCCATCGAGAAGAACGAAGGGTGTCTGCAGTAAGAACGGGGTGCTGTGGGCCCTGGGGAGTCAGCAGGCACAGGAGAGAGTAGAGGCCTGGTGGTGAGGAAGGGGTGGTGGGGCTTCTGAAAAGCTGAGCAACAAGGGCAGCTACTCAACTGCCCTCTCCGGGCACCCTCCAGAGCGACGCCCTCAGCTCACGTTCCCCCGTGTTTAGTCTAGTGTGGGGGGACTCAGAAGCCAGGGTGCTTTCAGTAGGAACTGGTGAGGTTAGGGCGTGGAGGGGCCAGGGACACCGTCCGTGTGCATCTAGGCCCCTGGCTTTCCTGGCGCGGCCCTGGCCAGAGGCAGGAGTCCTCTGACCGGATAGCTTCCTCCGTAGCATGACCTGCGCCAAATGCAACCATGGATTCTGCTGGCGCTGCCTCAAGTCCTGGAAGCCAAATCACAAAGACTATTACAACTGCTCTGCCATGGTAAGGGGCTGGGCCCCGAGGAGCGAGAGGCCCAAAGGCAGGCAGGAGGGACCCTGAGCAGAGGGCTCTCTCAGTGGGGAGAAGACAGAAGCCACATAGGCCTGCAGTGCTGGGAGGTCTGTCCTGGGAGGTCCATGCACGGGGACCAGAGGCCCAGGGTGGGACTTCCACCCCCAGGTGGCTACAGAGGGCTGGGATGGGCTGGGCATTCTCGGGGCAGCAGGGCAGAGCGGAGAGCAAGGACTGAGTCAGGACCTGGCTCTTCCAGTTAGTATGTGGCTTTGGGTCAGTTTTCTTGTCCACTCGTCAGCATTCTCACCTGTAAAAGGGGGTAATCATATGACCTACCTCACAGAGTCTGAGGGTTACAGAGAAAATCTGGGAAAGCGTGGAAAGGCCTCTGTGAATGGTAGCTAGTCTGACAAGCCCACGCTGTCCCAGCAAAGCACAGTAGCCCCCTATGTGTCTCACAGGTAAGCAAGGCAGCTCGCCAAGAGAAGCGGTTCCAGGACTACAACGAGAGGTGTACTTTCCATCACCAGGCCCGGGTGAGGAGGGGGAGGGTGGGGGAGAGGCCGGGAGGGGCCCAAGGTCCGAATCGATGGGTGCTGTTCTGAAGGGATGTGTGTGCATGCGCTCGCTGACCCGCCTTCCTCTGCACAGGAGTTTGCTGTGAACCTGTGGAACCGAGTGTCTGCCATCCATGAGGTGCCCCCACCCAAATCCTTCACCTTCCTCAGCGATGCCTGCCGGGGGCTTGAGCAGGCTCGAAAGGTTGGGGGGGTGGGGGGTGGGGGAATGTCCCAAGGGGACTGGTGGGCTGGGCAGCTGTCTTCTGACCGGTTGGATGGAGGGAAGGAGGAGGGAGCAGGTGGGAGGCAGATGCCTCCCCACAGCCAGGAGGCCTGACTTGGGCTCCCCTAGGTGCTGGCCTATGCCTGCGTGTACAGCTTCTACAACCAGGAAACGGAGCAAATGGACGTGGTGGAGCAGCAGACGGAGAACCTGGAGCTGCACACCAATGCCCTGCAGATCCTCCTGGGTGAGGCCTGCCCCTGCCTGCTCAGTCCCCTCTCCTGCCCCCTCCCCTCTGAGCACCCCGGCTCCAGCTTCCCACCTTCACGCTGTCCCTTCGTCATTCCTCATTCATGACCTCATCACCACAGGCCTTTTAAAATTCTGCTGGAAAGGCATACAGTACAGGCTGTAAGTGCCTAAGGGCACAGGTCTTCACCTGACCTTTTATTTGACTACTAAATTCATGCATGAAATTCATGCAGTGGGGGGAGGCAAGGTCTGAATCGATGGGTGCTGTTCTGAAGGGATGTGTGTGCCCCCCCGCCAGCCTGACTACCCCTCACTGCTTCCCACCCCCACCAGCCTGGTCGTCCCCAACTGCCCCCTCCCTGCCAGCCTGGTTGCTCCTAACTGCCCCCCCCCTCAGCCTGGTCACCCCTTACTCCCCCCCTCCTGGCCTGGTCACCCCCAACTGCCCCCCTCTGCAGGCCTGGTCACCCCTAACTATCCCCCTCTGCTGGCCTGGTTGCCCCCAACTGTCCCCCCTGCCAGCCAAGTTGCCCTTCACTGCCCCACTGCCAGCCTGGTCGCCCCCAACTGCCCCTCTCTGCCGGCCTGGTTGCCCCTAAATGCCCCCACCCTTGCTGGCCTAGTCGCCCCTCATGGCCTCCCACCCGCCGGCCTGGTCACCCCACGCAGCCTGCTGTTCAGTCATTTGGTCGTCCCTCACTAACCTCCCCTACCAGCCTGGTTGTAGGCAGCCATCCTGTGAGGGTGTGGGTTAATTTGCATATTGCCTCTTTATTATATAGGCTATCTGTCCCCATCACTAGAGTGTAAGCCTCTGGAGAATGGGTGTCTAGAGCTGGGCCTGCTAGGTGTTGGTAGAACTGGTGGGTGTGCAGTAGGGGTTTGCTGGAGGAGAGGATGGAGGGGGGGAAGAAGGGAGGGAGCCCTGCGCCCTGTCCCCTCTGCAGAGGAGCTCCTGCTGCAGTGCAGAGACCTGGCCTCGGGCCTGCGTCTCCTGCGGGCCGACTGCCTCCACATGGGCCTGGAGCTGCTCCGGCGGATCCAAGAGAGGCTGCTCGCCATCCTGCAGCATTCCACCCAGGTAGGCTGCCCCGCCTGGACCTCCCGTGCCCAGCATCCAGAAGGAGACCTGGGGGTGTCCCAGCTCCTGGGCCAGCCTGCTGGGTGCTGTTGGACCCTGCCACTTAACCTCCTGGCGTTTCTTACAAAATAAAGGAGTTAGCCCAGATCCTTGCTCTGCAGAATCAGTTGGGGAACTTTTTCAGACACGCTTCCCAGATGGATTCAGAATCCCAGGAGTGGGGGTCAGGGGGGTGGGGTCCACTGAGTAAGGGAGCTGAGAGTCTTTCCAGCTGTAATACGCTGATGTTGAGTCTGAACTAGGAGTCCCACCCTCAGGGAGCATACAGACTGACAAGTCACGAGTAGGAAAGGCATGAGCAGATACTGAGCTCCTGAAGCAAGGCCGGTGTGCTGACCTGTGTCCTGTGTCCCTGGAGACACCTCTGGTGTTGTGATGGGGAAGGGAGAGCAGGTGGGAACGTCCTGCCAGGAGCATGGCGCCTAGTAGGCCCTTGGAGAACGTTGGTTGGAGAAACGCTGGGCAGAGGCCCAGTGGCCTCTCCTCTCCTGCTCCCTGTCCTCCGTCTCTGCCAGGACTTTCGGGTTGGGCTCCAGAGTCCATCGTTAGAGGCCCGGGAGGCGAAAGGGTCCAACGTGCCCGGCAGTGGGTGAGTATGGGCGGAGCCCCGGAGGGGGTGGGATACGGCAGGCCTCCCTGGGGCTGAGCGGCTGGCTCTCTCCCTGTTGATGGCGACCTGTCCCCCCAGGCCCCGGGGCTCCTCGGGGCTGGACACGGATGAGGAGGAAGGCGAAGACATGCCCGAGTGGCAGCAGGACGAGTTCGATGAGGAGCTGGACAACGACACCTTCTCCTATGACGGGGAGTCGGAGAACCTGGACCGGGACGCTTTCTTCTTCGGGGATGAGGATGAGGATGAGGAGGAGGGCTATGACTGAGGGGCAGGATGCAGGGAGCTCCTGGAGCCGCGGGGCCAGGGGGCCGGCAGTTCATCCCTGACCACTGTCCTGGGTGCTCGGAGGGGCGGTTCCCAGCATCTGCAGCACCTTCTGTTTACTGAATAAACTTTTTTCATATACTTCTCTGAAGCAGGCCCGTTCTAACTCCCCTGCTCCCCGCACACCCAACCCTCCTCTAGTTTTCTTTAGACCTCCAGACTCTTCTGTTGTCAGAGAGGCCCAAAGCTGACCCTGTGACCTAGGCTGATAACGGGAAATGACGGTCCATGTGGCACAGGCTTGCCCACTTGCCCCAGACCCAGCCCAGCATCAGAGGAGACGGACGGCCATCCGCTTGGTCGGCCTCCCTCTAAACTCCTGAATGTTCCTGGGAGGGGCCTGCGCATTAGGAAGGGCCCTCTTGGGGGCCTGCAGACTTTTACAGGTTTTCCCTGCATCTCAAAGTGAAGTGTTTCAGGGGGAGGGGGGTACATTACTGAGGCCCTGCCCACCCCACCCCACACACAGACAGAAGTTAGAAGTGTAGACGTGCCTTTTAATTTGTCCTGGGCTTTTAGGCAGGAATGGTACAGAGCAGAGTCAGGGATCTGAAGAATTTAATGAAGGGGCAAAGTCAAGTGGTTGGGTCACGGGAGGAAGCCAGCTGCTGGGGAGGGTTAGCTGCGAAGTATCGGTCCAGCATGACCTCCACCTCGCCCACCTCGTAGTCCCACACCTGGAACCGGTAGCCGTCTGCTGCTCCGCGGATCATGGCCGAGAGCACTGGGGGGCAGAGGCAGGTGACGGTGCCTCCCACTCCCTCCTCTGTCCTCTCCTGCCCAGCCCTTGTTGGGGACAGACACTACTCAGAGCCCCCCAAGAAAGGGAGCCGAGGGCTGGGTGCTCAGCTGGGGCGGGTGGAGTGGCCATCCAGGGCTGGGAGTGCTCACCTCGGCCAGACTTCCGGCGGAACAGGCACAGGATTCGCTTATTGAGGGCCTCGGCCCGGCCCACTGCATAGCCCACACCCAGGGACGGCTGGGTCACTTCTGCCACAATCACTGGGAAGGAAACGAGACGGAGGCTCCGTATCTGGGCTTGAGAGAGAAAGGTGGCGGGGAGGGGGGAGAGGAGGGGAGGGGGGGCCAGGCGTGTTCCGGGAATTAACACCCAGAGGTGCGCACAGGGCGGAGGGCACTCACAGTCCGCCCGCTGCAGCAAGGCCAGGTCCCGCTCCTGGATGAACCTGTCACCCTCCGCAGGCTGTTCCCCTGTGGATGAGGGAAGGCTGGTCAGGGCCGAGCCCTCATCTGGTACTCCGCCCGCCAGAGCTACCCCCACATCCTCCCTGCTCAGGGCGGGAGGGAGATGACTAGATGACCTCTGAGGGCCTGCCCAACACTAAGTCTGTGAAATGGAGGAAATGGAACAGCCAAAGGAAAAACCCAGCCCTCTGCACGCCGGGATGTATGACACGGGCCAGATGAGTGATACAAAATAAGATGAACCAGTTAACCGCCGCGATATTTTGAATTTAATTTAAAAAGTTCCGCCGCTTGCATCTATAGATGCTGATGGCATACAAGTGGTTAAGGGAAGGACTAACTGGCCATGGGCAGAGTGATCACAGGTGGAGAGGAGGAGGAGCATCCAGGTGGGGGAAATGGCAGGCAGGAGCAAGGACTGGTCCCTGCAAGGAAAGGACGGAGGGAGACCAGACTAAAGCCTCATCGAGTGGCTCTCACGCATTGGTAGGTTCCAGAATCACCTGAGAACTTGATAAAACTACAAAGACCCAGATGTCACTGGGCTCAGCGGCTTCATTCCCACCAAATTTGAGAACCACTGCCTGCAGGCAAGGCGGCCTGTTGGGGGTGGTGGGAATCCAGGTAGAGGCAGCTGGGGAAAGGGTACGGAGCTCGGCGTTCGGCTTGATTGCATGCCACGCGTTAGGACTGCAAGGCTCACGGCTCCCTGCACCGGAGCAGAGTCACCGGAGAACTTGCTCAAAGGAGCTTCTAAGGCTTCATCCCAGCCATGGGGACCTGCATTTTGAACAAGCTCCTCAGATGACAGCTGAGCACACTAAGCCTGAGGCCCACCAGGCAGGCGTGGACACACCCTGAGACCATGAACCATGAGCTGCGGGTCCCTCGTACAGGCCCTTTCCAACATCCCCGGCAATATCGTCTTTTTAAAGAGGTCTCCCAGGACTGCATTAATCCCACCAATCCTGGATCTGCTCCTGAGTAACGCATCGCACTTCCCGATTTCTAGTTATATTATAAAGTAAAACAATCAAAACAGTATGGTATTGGCATAAAAGCAAACACCAGTGGAACAGAATCAAGAGCCCAGGAATAAAGCCATGTACACTCAACCAACATTTGACAAGGGGGCCAAGAATACTCAGTGGAGAAAAGACTCTCTCTTCCGTAAACGGTGCTGGGGAAACTGGGCATTCACGTGTAACAGACCCCTATTTTACACCACTCACAAAAATTAACTCGAAATGGATTAAAGATGTAAATGTAAGACCAGAAATGATAAAACTCCTAGAAGAAAACACGGGAAAAAGCTCCTTGACTTGGGTCTTGGCAATGGTTTTTTGGATACGACACCCAAGGCACAAGCAACAAAATAAAAAATAAACAAGGGGGACTACGCCAAACTAAAAAGCTGCTTTCTGCACGGCAAAAGAAATAATCAACAAAACGAAAATACAGCCTACAGAATGGGAGAAAATATCTGCAAACCATGTACTGACAAGGGTTAATATCCAAAATACAGGGTGGGGCAAACGTAGGTTTACAGTTGTGAGTATGTGAAACACAGCTATTCTTATATTATTATTATATTATTTTCCATATAAACAACAGCAAATGTACTTTCCCCCCCACTTTTTAAAAAAAATATATTTTATTGATTTTTTTACAGAGAGGAAGGGAGAGGGATAGAGAATCAGAAACATCGATGAGAGAGAAACATCGATCAGCTGCCTCCTGCACACTCCCCACTGGGGATGTGCCCGCAACCAAGGTACATGCCCTTGACCGGAATCGAACCTGGGATCCTTGAGTCCACAGGCCGACGCTCTGTCCGCTGAGCCAAACTGGTTAGGGCCCCCCCCCCTTTTATTAAAAACAAAACCAAACCTCATACAACTCAGCAGCAAGAAAACAAATAATCCAATTAAAAACCGTCAAAGGACCGGAAAAGACATTTTATCAAAGAAGGTGCATGAATGGCCAACAGATACATGAAAAGGTGTTCAGCATCACTAGTCATTAGGGACAAGCAAATCAAAACCACAATGAGCCCTAGCCAGTTTGACTCAGTGCATAGAGAGGAGCCCTGCGGACTGAAGGGTCCCAGGTTTGATTCTGGTCAAGGGCACATGCCCGTGCAGGAGGCAGCCGATCAATGATTCTCATCACTCTCTCCCTCTCCGTTCCTCTCTGAAATCAATAAAAAAATATGTTTAAATAAGAATGCTATTTCCTACCTGGTTTGGCTCAGTAGATAGAGCATTGGCCTGTGGACTGAAGGGCCCCAGGTTCAATTCCAGTCAAGGGCACATGCCCGGGTTACAGGCTCAACCCCCAGTTGGGGGCGTGCAAGAGGCAGATGATCAATGATTCTCTCTCATCATTGATGTTTCTATATCTATCTCCCTCTCCCTTCCTCTCTGAAATCAATAATATATATATATATACATATATATATATTTAATATATTTTATTGGTTTTTTACAGAGAGGAAGGGAGAGGGATAGAGAGCCAGAAACATCGATGAGAGAGGAACATTGATCAGCTGCCTCCTGCACACCCCCCACTGGGGATGTGCCCACAACCAAGGCACATGCCCTTGACCGGAACCGAACCCGGGACCCCTCAGTCCACAGGCCGACACTCCATCCACCGAGCCAAACCAGCCAGGGCTATATTTTTAAAAACAAACAAACACAAAAACACAATGAGCCCTGGGCCTGTAGCTCAGTTGGTGAGAATGTCGTTCCAATACGCTAAGGTTGCAGGTTTGATCCCCAGTCAGGGCACATACAAGAAGCAGACAATGAACGCATAAATAAGCGGAACAACAAATTGATGTTTCTCTCTCCCATTCCCTTTCTCTAAAATCCATAAACAAAATTTAAAAAATAATAAATCAATAAAAAATATTTAAAAACCCACAGTGAGATACCAATTCACATCTGTTAGAACAGCTATCATAAAAAAAGACAAGAAATAACAAATGCTGACAAGGATGTGGAGAAAAGGGAACGGTTGTGCTCTGTTGGTGGGAATATAAATTTCCACTATGGAGAACAACAGTATGGAGGTTCCTCAAAAAAATGAAAAACAGAACTGCCTCCCAGCAGGCGTGGCTCAGTGGCTGAGTGTAGACCTATGAACCAGGAGGTCACGGTTCGCTTCCGGGTCAGGGCATATGCCTACCTTGTGGGCTTAATCCCCAGTGTGGAGTGTGCAGGAGGCAGCCGATTCTCACATCACTGATGTTTCTCTCCTCCCTTCCTCTCTGAAATCAATAAAAATATGTTAAAAATATAAAAAATAGAACTACTGCCCTAACCGGTGTGGCTCAGTGGATAGAGCGTCGGCCTGTGGATTGAAGGGTCCCAGGTTCGATTCCAGTCAAGGGCATGTGCCTTGGTTGCGGGCGCATCCCCAGTAAGGGGTGTGCAGGAGGCAGCTGATCGATATTTCTCTCTCATCGATGTTTCTAACTCTCTATCCCTCTCCCTTCCTCTCTGTAAAAATTCAATAAAATATATTTAAAAAAAATAGAACTACCATACGACCCAGCAATCCCACTTTGGGGAATATAACAAGGAAATGAAAACACTGTTGGAGTGATGTTCGAAGCATTACCTACAGTAGCCAAGACATGGGAAATAAGTGTCTACAGGTGGATGAATAAGGAAGTTGTGATGTATAGATACAATGGAATATCATTCCGCCATGAGAAAGAAGGAAAGCGCCATTTGGAAAAACGCGGAAGGACTTTGAGGGCACTATGCTAAGTGAAATAAGTCAGAGTGTATGATCTCACATATATGTGGAATCGTAGCATGAGCGCGCGTGCGCCACACACACACACACACACACACACACACACACACCACCACCACCACCACCACCACCACCAACAACAACAACAACAAAACAGAAAAACTGAAACTCCTAGCAAAAAAGATCAGATTTGTGGTTACCAGAGGTGGGGGAACAAGAGATGGGGAGATTGGATAAAGGTGGTCAAAAGGCACCAACTTCCGGTTATAAAATACGTTCTAGGGCTGTAATGTACATAACGACCATAGTATGGTTTTTTCAAATTTGTTAAGAGAGATCCTACGAGTTCTTATCACAAGGAAAGGAATTTTTTTCACGAGGTGACTGATGGTAACCAAACTTTTGTGCTAATCCTTTCACGCTATATCAGTGGCAGGCCCAGAAATCAGGATTTTAGAAAGACTCCCAGGTGATTCTAATGTGCAGCCAAGATTGAGAACCACTGCTCTATATGCAAGTCGAGCCAATAAACTGTCCCCCTTAGACCTACACGGTGCTCTATGTGCCCGTAAAACTGGGGAGAAGGAAAAAGACCCGGCGGCCCGGAGCAGAACGCCTAAGTCCCAGCCGGACCACAGGGGAGGGCGACCGTGGAGGCGGAGCGCGGTGTCTGCGGGGCCAAGGGCTGGCACCTGGGGCGGGGGCGCAGGAAGGAGGATGAGCGTGGTCTCAGGTCGGGGAGAAGGTACCAGCGGGACGTGGAAATCCAAGCAGCCCCGTCTGCGCCCACTCTGCCTCCCCCCACCCCTGCGCCCCAGCTGCCCTTAAAGCGCCGGAGAAAGTGCTCCCAGAAGGAGCTAAAGCCCGGATCATGAGTGAGCGCGGAGGCTGGGCGCGCACCGCCGCTGCGTGCGGACGGCGCGGTCTGAGTCCCGCTCCCACGGCTGGCGGCGGAGTGGCGAGCGGCCACCGCCCCGCGAGGGCAGTTCCGGTCAAGGGGCGCGGGCGTCTCTGCCCCCCCGCCACCCCGCCCCCGGTCCCGGTGCCCCCCGCGCCGCGCCTCACCCTGCGCGCCCAGCTCCACATCCAACACGTGCTCGGTGAGCACCGTCCCGAAGCGCCGCAGCCGGGACACGATCCGATCGTACAGCGCCCGGTCCTCGCGTCCGCCCCGCATGCTCCCGCAGAAGTACAGGGCCCGACGGCCCGGCGCGGCCGGCTGCTCCTGCTGCCCCCGCTGCCCCGGCGCCCCGCTCTCCTGCTGCCCCGGCGCCCGGCTCTCCTGCGCGCCCGCCGCTGCCGCCGCCGCCGCCATCCCCGCCGCCACTCACCTTCCCGCGCCAGGGGGCGCCAGCCCGCGGCCATTTGACCCCGCCGGGCCCCGCGCGAGTGTCCACACCTGTGAGATGGGGCGGAGTTGAGAGGATGAGTGACCACACCCATGCTTGGGGAACGCGCCGCCTCCTGGACTTCTTACCTCTAACTTGTCCCGGAGGACCCCTCACCCACTTGGCTGCCCCCCAGTCTTCCCCATCTCAGCCAAAGCCAACTCCATCCTCCGAGCTTCTCAGGCCCCAAACCTTAGAGTTATCCCCGGCTCTTCTCTCTCAAATCCATCGGCAACTCCTGTCGGCTCTCCCTTGTGAAGATTTCCAGATTCTGATACCCACCCACCACCCCAGTGCAGCCATGCTCACCCAAACCTCCCTTACCTCCCTCAGCAGGCTCCTCGCCGGCTCCCCACTTCCCTGCCACCGTCAGGTCTCCACTCAGCAGCCACACTGACCCTGTGAGCACATCAGCTGGGTCATGACCCTCTGCTCAAACCCTCCAATGGCTCCCTTCTCACTTAGGCTAAAAACCAAAATCCCGCCCAGGTGGCGAGGCTCGGTGGTTGAGCAACCAACGACTTATGAACCAAGAGGTCACGGTCATGGGCCTGATCCCAGTGTGGGGTGTGCAGGAGGCAGGCGATCCGTGATTCTCTCTCATCACTGATGTTTCTCCCTCTCTCTCTTCCTCTCTGAATTCAATAAACATATATTTAAAAACAAATAAAAACACCAAAACCCCACAGTGGCCCACCAGGCCCACACGATCGGTGACTCTCTAACCTCTGTAGCCCCGGCCCAAATCCTCTCGCCGACCTTTCTGCAGCCAGGCTGCTCCCTGCTACTCCTCAAGCTGGCCGTAGAGCCTTTCCATTTCCTGCTTCCTGGGACCCTTTGTCCCAGATGTCCCCTTTGTCCCTGGGCCACTCCCTCATCTCCTCCAAGCCTCACAGGTCACCTGCCCTGACCACCCTCTTCAACAGGACAGCCTCCCGCCCCCAGTATTCTCTGCATCTTTCCCTGACTTGCCTTTTCTCATGTTCCATGTCATTCATTAATGTTGTTGTATGTCTTTCTACACCCGGTAGAATGTAAGTCCCAGGAAGGCAGGACTTTTTATCTGTTTGTTTCACTGCTATATCCACAGCTTCTAATTTTGTGCCTGGAACATAGGAAGCATTCCTATTGCTGAGTGAAAGAGTGGATTAAATAAGTTACATTTGGCAGCACTTTGTAATCGGCTCAATCCTAAGAAGCTGGTAGAAGTAGGATCTTCAGGGAGACAGGCAAACACACCATTGCTCACTGGTAATAATAATGATTTCCCCGTTTTATTATAAAAATAACACAAATATAGGACAGAAAATTCAAATGGAACGAAGGGCATGCAATGGAGAATGAGGCCTGCGACCCCAGTCTCATTCCCCAGAGGGAAGCACCGTTGGAGTTTCTTCTGAATGATAATGATTAAAATGTCAAAGCATAGGGTCCCAGAGCAGGCGCAAAAATAAGAATGTTTTCAACATAATAATAATGTTTTAGCCCGGCCGGCATAGCTCAGTGGTTGAGTGTTGACCTATGAACCAGGAGATCACGGTTCGATTCCCGGTTGGGGCACATGCCCGGGTTGCAGGCTCGATCCCCAGTGTGGGGTGTGCAAGAGGCAGCCGATCAATGATTCTCTCTCATCATTGATGTTTCTCTCTCTCTCTTCCTCACCCTTCCTCTCTGACATCAATAAAAATATATTTTAAAAAATAAAAAATAAATAAAATAACAAAAAATAATGTTTTAAAATACAAAGACACAAAGAGAAGGCGGAGAGATTTCAGGATATTTCTGTCCACTCCTGGACACAGCCACAGATACACAAACCCTGGGACAAAAGTGCCCCCACCAGCACCCTCACACATGACCTTCAGGAAGGAAGCCGCATGTGCCAGATGACTTGATGGGCCACCTCCTTCACCTTCATTAAGTGATGGGCTGGGGAACCAAGGGCGGTGGGTAGTCTAGTGAGGCAGCATGATGGGGGGCGGGGGCGGGGAGGAGTATCTCCAGGTGACAGGAGGCCAGAATTGAGTCCCAGTTCAGTTAGTTCAGTTACTAATTAGCTCTGTGACCTGGGTCAGGTGCCCTAAGCCCTCTGAGTCTGTTTCCTCATCTGTAAAATTGGTGACAAATGTTATCCTGCCTTACTCAGCTGGTTTATGAAAGCACTTTACAAACACAAAATGCTATGCAAATGTTAGTCATCATTCAAGTCAACAAAATTGTTTTCATTATGGAAAATGTCAAGTGCACATTAACAGAGAGAGTATCAGAAGAGTCCATGTCGTACGATCCCATCCTATATAATAAAACCCTAATATGCAAATTGACCAAACGGCAGAACAACCGGTTGCTATGACATGCACTGGCCACCAGGGGGAAGACGCTCAACGCAGGAGCTGCCCCCTGGTGGTCAGTGCACTCCCACAGGGGGAGTGCCACTCAGCCAGAAGCCGGGCTTGCTGCTCCTTAGTGCTGCCTTGGAGGTAGGAGTGCTCGCCAGCTATGAGCCGGGCTTATGGCTGAGCAGCACTCCCCCTGTAGGAGCGCACTGACCACCAGGGGTGGACATCCCTCAAGGGTTCCTGGACTGCAAAAGGGCACAGGCTGGGCTAAGGGGCCCCCCTCACCGCCCCCCCCCCAGTGCATTAATGTCATGCACCAGGCCTCTAGTTTAGTGTAAATGTCCAGAAAAGACATATGTATTTAGAGAGGCAGAAAGCAGACCAGTACCAGCTGGGGTGGGAATGGGCATTGACTAGTGGGCTCAATGAAACTTTCTAAGCATGATAGAAATGTTCTAAAGCTGGATTGTAGTGATGATTGCACAACTCTAGAAATTTACAGAATGTTATTACATTGTATACTTACAACTGGTGAATTTTATCAATATGTAAATTATACCCCAGGAAGCTGTTTTTAAAGAAGCAAAAATAAAGTATGGAAAATAATCAATAGTATAATAAGATTCAGCAATTATAAATTTATGGCCCATCTTGTTTCACCTACACCCATATCCATGAACAAGATTTGTTGTTGTTAACCTCAACTGAGGATATTTTTTCCACTGACTTTTAGAGAGAGTAGAAGGGAGGGGCAGAGACAGAGAGAGAGAAACACACGGTGTGAGAGAGACGCATCGATTAGTTGCCTCCTGCACCCACCTGACCCTGGATCGAGCCTGCAACCCAGGTACGTGCTCTTGACCGAAATCAAACCCGAGACCCTTCAGTCCTTAGGCCAACGCTCTAACCACTGAGCAACCAGCTAGGGCTCCATTAACAAGATTTTTTTTAAAATGTTTAATTTATGATTTTAAGAGAGGAAGGGAGAGAGAAAGAGAGAGACATCAATTTGTTGTTCCACTTTATTCATTGGTTGCTGCTTGTATGTGCCCTGACTGGGGATCGAACCCACAACCTTGGCATATTGGGATGATCGATGCTCTAACCAACTGAGCACCCGGCCAGGGCCCTTAACAAGAGCTTTTAACGTCATCAAATATCCCATGAGTGTTCAAATCTCCAGGTGTTTAGAAATGTTAGAAATGTTTGCTTACAATTTATTTGTTTAAAAGCAGGAGTCACATGAAGTCCACATATTGTGATGGGTGGACATGTCTTTTGAGTCTGTTTTAACCGACGTGTCCTGCGGCAGAACGTCTCCTCTCCCCTCATTTGTCCTGCAGTTTCCCCCGGCCTGGAGGGGGCTGATTATATGTCCCCGTGGTGTCATTAAAGTGCTCCTCTGTCCTTTCGGCTGAAGTTGGACCTAGAGGTTTGACCAGGTTCAGGTGCGATATTGGGCAAGACTGCTTCACAGGTGGTGGCGTGCACTCCCCTCATGGGTCACAGTGTCTGGTTGTCTCTCTTTTTTGATGCTAGCAACTCAATGCCTAGATCCATCCATCATTCATTCAGGGGACATAACAATAAAAATATTTTTATTATAAGGTAAAACCCACCAGCTGAAAACCACTGTAAAGCAAATACAGTATGAGACAAACGCTCTTGCAATCACCCCTTGTATTAAGAAATAGATCTTCAGCCACCCAGAGGTTTCCATCTGTGCCATCTCAATCACAGTCCCCTTGCTCCCTCCAAAAGTCACCACTGTGCTGACTTTCATTGTAAAGATAAACATGGACACACATTGCCCGGCCTGCGTGGCTCAGTGGTTGACCTTCGACCTTTGATTCCCAGTCAGGGCACATGCCCAGGTTGTGCGCTCGATTCCCGTGGGAGGCGTGCAGGAGGCAGCGGAGCAATGATTCTCTCTCATCATTGATGTGTCTGTCTCTCTCTCCCTCTCCCTACCTCTCTCTGAAATAAATAAAAACATATTTAAAAAAAAATAGACACAGCCCTAGCCAGTTTGGCTCAGTGGATTGGAACGTCAGACCATGGACTGAAGGGTCGTGGGTTCGATTTCGGTCAAGGGCATGTACCTGGGTTGCAGGTTCAATCCCCTGACCCAGTCTGGACACATGTGGGAGGCAACCAATCGATGTGTCTCTCTCACATCGATGTTTCTCTCTCTCTCTCCCACCCTGTCTCCCTCCCTCCCTCTCTCCCTTCCACTCTCTAAAAGAAAAAAAATCAGTGGGAAAATATCCTCGGGTGAGGACTAACAGCAACAATAAAAAAAAAGTTTTTTAAAAATGGACACAAATCAACTTCCTTATGCTTCTTTATTACCCAAATGTGCATCTCTGCACATATGGTTTAACCTTACTCATGTTTTAATGTGTCTTTTAACAGTGTTGGGGAGACATTTTTAAAAATATGTTTTTATTGAGAGAGAAACATCCATGTGAGAGAGAAACATCAATGGCTCCCTCCTGCTCACCCCCTAATGGGGACCGAGCCCTAACCTGGGCTTGTGACCTGGCCGGGAATCGACCTGGTCACCTTTTGGTGCAGGGGACGACACT